AAATAAATAAATAAATAAATAAATAAATAAATAAATAAATAAATAAATAAGATATCATCACCATGGGGAAGGGGGCGATGATAACTTCCTCAATGGCTCAAGGGGGCATTTCTTTCAAAAAGGTTAAGAACCACTGGTCAAGACCATACAGTGGTTTAACAGGAAAGGTACCACTCAGAACAGGCCTCGCCATGGTCGACCAAAGATGTTGAGTGCCCGTGCTCAGAATCATATCCAGAGTTTGGCTTTGGGGAATAGACATATGAGTGCTGCCAGTATTGCTGCAGAGGTTAAAGGGGTGGGGTGGGGTCAGCCTGTCAGTGCTTAGACCATATGCCACACACTGCAACAAATTGGTCTCCAGGGCTGTCGTCCCAGAAGGAAGTCTCTTCTGAAAATGATGCACAAAAAAGCCCGCATACAGTTTGCTGCAGACAAGCAGACTAAGGACATGGATTTCTGGAATCATGTCCTGTGGCCCAATGAGACCAAGATAAACTTATTTGGTTCAGATGGTGCCAAACATGTGTGGAAGCAACTAGGTGAGGAGTACAAAGACAAGTGTGTCATGCCTACAGTCATGCATGGTGGTGGGAGTGTATACAGTACATAGCTTGTGCATAAATCTCTTAGAGCAACATAGACATTCAAAGAAGTAAAGACTCACTACTGTGTGGCAATGTGCTGTTCCCACTCTTCTGCTTATATATGTAGTAAGAGCAGCCTATCACTTATAGACAATGCAGCTGAACATGGTTAACTAGCACTACCCAAGCTTGTTCCAGCTGCATGCCATCAGTCATCCATTTTGCATTGACTTTTACAGGCATGACTTTGCATTTGTCATCCATTTTTCATTTCCTCTACAATACTAAATTTAACCCATTGTTTACTTGTTAGGAACAAATCCTGGTGAACTCTATGCCCAAGAGGGTTAAGACAGTGCTGGACAATAACAGTGGCCACACAAAATATTGACACTTTGTGCCCAATTTGGACATTGTCACTTAGGGGTGTACTCACTTTTGTTGCCAGCAGTTTAGATATTAATGGCTGTGTGTTACATTATTTTGAGGGGACAGCACATTTACACTGTTATACAAGCTTAATACTCACTGCTTTACATTGTAGCCAAGTGTCATTTCTCCAGTGTTGTCACATGAAAAGATATACTAAAATATTTATGAAACGTGAGGGGGTGTACTCACCTCTATGATATACTGTATAATGTCAGAGATGAGATGAAGCCCAAAGCACTCTATCAGGATTCCATGGTAGTGGTATTGAATGCTGGAGTAATGTCCAAGAGAACGAAAAAGATTGCACTTCCTTATCTGGAACCCAGAGTAGGTCATTAAGCCCATACTCCAGCCCAAAGCCAATCTGAAATGTATTCAGATAATCATTGTCATCCAGGAATGCTAAAATTATCCAGTCCTATCATATTTTTAAAGAATGCCACCATGATAACTGCAGCATAATTGACAGTTGCCTTAGCTACTTCATTAGTTCCACCAACTAACTCTTGTTCTATGAATTGTCATACCACTACATTTCCTTGTGTGATCAGACCACGCAGGTTGATTTGGCATGGAAAATGAAATGTTCCCCATCTGGCTGGTTTCATGAGAATGAGTGAGTCATTGCGAAATATTGATCAACTGCAGTGCTTATTTAACTTTCCAATTTAGCATTTTGACAAATGCCTTCCATTCATTTTGCAATATTTTACTTTCATCTGAACTTTACTTGTGTTGCTTTCATAAGTTTTATGTGACAGAGAGTTAGCTGGATAAGTCAATATTTGGCATAGCAGCGTGCAGCACATATATACTTTCAAGAGATCATTTTAGTGGTCTATTTTCGGAGATTGATCTTGCCAACCTCTGCTGTTTTATTGGAACTGTACAAGCATGGTGGTTTAATAGGGATAGCATGAGAATTTAATGCTTTAAACCAAAGCCAGAACAAACATCCTTCTATAAAGCTTACACTTAGCTGCTATTTTAGAGAATAGATAACCTAACAGGACGCTTATATATGTAGTAAGAGCAGCCTATCACTTATAGACAATGCAGCTGAACATGGTTAACTAGCACTACCCAAGCTTGTTCCAGCTGCATGCCATCAGTCATCCATTTTGCATTGACTTTTACAGGCATGACTTTGCATTTGTCATCCATTTTTCATTTCCTCTACAATACTAAATTTAACCCATTGTTTACTTGTTAGGAACAAATCCTGGTGAACTCTATGCCCAAGAGGGTTAAGGCAGTGCTGGACAATAACAGTGGCCACACAAAATATTGACACTTTGTGCCCATTTGGACGTTGCCACTTTTTTAAATGGTGATGTTGTAAATGCTTCAGGATTTATGCCATTCTGGATTAAATAAATCAAACTGCATGTATTGTGTTATGGGCTTCTGAGGGAAGAAAATGGAAAAGGAATTCTGCAAAAGACATGCCAGACAAAGGCAAGATTGCAGTTATTCTCTGCCTCTTGAGAGGTTACTTTTGTGACCCTTAGTCTGCCAAAATAATAATAATAAAAAAATCACCCTGATGAAACTCAATGGCAAAGGCAACAAATCACTAAAAACTCTTCAAAACAACCAGAAAATAGTTTAAAAAGTCAAATACTTGGAATATATTTAACTGCCAGATGAGTAACTATAAAAGAAGATAATTATATAAAACTACTTAACCAAATAAAAATAGACCTAGAAAAATGGAAAAACCTACAACTATCACTATTAGGAAGAATTTATCTGGCAGTGATTGGCCAAGGCCACTTACTGTGAAGAGCTGAATAGCTAATTCAAGTGCTGGGCATCTCCTGGAGGAGGTGACCTTGAGGTCATATAATTGCAACTGTAATTTATTTAGTTAAAGAAGCGAATGTGTTCTCAATTAGCTTGGCAGCCATTATGATAACTCAAGTGGGATTTATACTTGCTTATGCCAGTCTGCTTTATGGATAAAGTTATTGGTCCTTTTGAGGTGGTTGTTTTTGCTGCCTCTCTTTAGTCTTACAGTTCATGGTGTTTTCCCCCTCCTCCATGGGAAAGATCTGAAGGTCTGCTCTTTCTGATTAATGGGCAACCAATCCTAATGATGCGGATATTGGCATAATCACTGTGGAGGGTCTTTGGGACATGTCCGTATTGGGAGGCTAGTAGAAAACAACAAAACATATTTGCTACCTGACACAAAACAAGGACAGGAAGAAATTTGGGAAAATGCAGCAAATTGATACTGGGAAATTTTCACACCTCTTTATTGATTTAAGCTGCTCCTTAACCTCCGTAACTGCCTGCACCACACTCATTCTCTGAAAATCTTCCAGATTTGCCCGAGATCCTTTGTCTTTCAGCTCAAATTGAGAATTTGTGTTTTTACTGCAAACAGGATAAGCTGCACAGTTCTTAGGGCATCCCCAGAAAGGAGTGGATGGTAAACTACTTCTGAGTACTCTCTACCCGAAAAACTCTGAAAAGGATGGGCCTAAGTCAGAATTGACTGGAGGGCAGATGATTATTATGGCCCAAGCACTGAGGTGAAATAAATGAGGCACAGTCTACCAATGGGGACTTGTCCAGACTTCAGTCCACTATCCCGAAGAATAAAAATATCACTACATATTTTAACAGCCGCAAGGATTATATTTGCACAGTACTGGAAAAATGAAGAAACACCTACGGATCAAGAAATAATCAAAAAGATATTGGACTGAGCCAAAATGGATAGACTGAAAATCAAGGGAAAGGAAGATACAAAATATTATCAAACATGGGACTTGTTCTATCAATGGTTAGAAGGACGTTGTATAGATTAGGAGCGTAATGTGTATGGTAGTTGTTTTAACAAATGATTATAAGCTGTACCCAGGTGGCACGATGTTAAATCAGCATGGATGGATTTTACAAATTATAATGATAATTTTAAAAAAACAACCAGAAAATGTTAGTTTCAAAAAAAGATATTGTAGCTTGTGTATTGTGTAATTCCACCAGCAATCCTGATCTACTGCCACATTTTTTAAAACTTCGGCTCCCTGTGAAAATTTTAAAAATGTGGCAGTAGACCAGGATTGCTGAGGGAAGTACTGTATATGCATCATAAACAAGGATTATTTTATGTGCATCATAGAATTTGAAGTGAGGCAGCAGCGGGTAGATCATGTGATATGCGATCATTTCCGTCCGAAATTCACCTGACCTCTTCCTTTGCAATATTTGGGAAATCTTTGAAAACTTTTCAGGCAGGCTTTCCAATCCATTCCATCTAATAGCTGCTGATTATGCATATTTAACACTTCTTGTCACCATCTGTTTTTAATGTTTAATATTTATTAATTTTGAATTTTATTAGTTGCTTAATTTCATACACTATAGTTGATTTTTGATCTGTTGTTTTTTTCTATTTCATGATGTCATATCAATTTGTTATGTTTGTGTTTTATGATTAACTGTATTGTTCTCTGTTGTACACCACCCCATGCGGCCCCAGGCCAGTTGGTGTAATATAAAAGTGCAATAAATAAATAAAATGATAGGCAAAAGTGTGCCATTTCAAAGAGTGGCAAAGTTCAGTATATGTTCACTTCTGTGTGAAGATCTTGGAATTGCACTATGGCCAGTGTCCAAGTGCACAACAGTATACTTGGACACTGTGTACAGGGGTGCAGTAACAACTTGGATAACAAGATGGCATATACCTTCTTCGTATTTCTGATGTAAGGCGTTCAGTGGCAATTCACTGATTATATAAATGTAACTGAAGTTTTTAGTAGTATTTCTTGTGAGTCATAAATTTGGAATGTGTGGGTTATCTTGCTCTCAGGGAGGATTTACTAATACTTCAAACTAGAAAACGTTAATCATTGAGAACATTGATTGCTGAGGAATCTTAGAATAAAATGAAACAGGTGCTATACATTATTGGTAGGACTGATACGTTCAAAATGTACAGGATGTATAGAACTTATGTACTGTGATTAGATCGTAGAACAAGTGTAACAGATCTCTTGTCAAGCTTGTTATTACGATGCCTCTAAGAACAAAAATATGTGGATTTAAATTATCTTGTCCAAACATCTACCCCTATGTTTCGAAAGTTTAAAAGTTGTATGAAAATTATTTGCTAAATTGGATCCTGAAGAGTGTGGAGCAGTAGATGCTAAAGATATATATATGGCTTACTGAGGGCCCAGAGAGAATATCGTAACACAGTATAATTAGTGAATATTAATAGCATGAGCAGCTGCAAGCAAGTGATATGAACAGCAGGAAGCCACCACACAAGCATTTTAAAAGGGTAGACTTAATGAATATTTCTAACATGACGTATAATTTTAATTGATTGATCTATGGTGCAGCCATGCCTTTTTTGGAGCAATGAATCATGGAAGCAAACGTTAACAGGTTCATCTCACCGTTACTTTGGACTCACTCCTACAGTGGGATTTTCTCTCATTTTATCATTTCTAACTGCCACAGTATTACAGTACATTGTGATTCAATGGGATCTCAATGTTGTCATAAATAAGAGTGTGATGTTAGCCCTAGCGTTTGTAGCCTAGAAAGAAAGCTTATACGTAATTCCTCCACATAATTTATGTACACTGGCATAGCACACATGGCATAACTTCTGGAGGAAAATTTCCCTGAGTTAAAAAAATCACTGTAGACTTTATGTATATTGAGTTGTATGATAAAGTCTATGGTGTTTTCTTTCTTTTTCTTTTTTCTTTTTCTTTTTTATATGTATAACAAATATAACAAAATCATAAATGACAAATAGAATTTCAACTCAAATATACAGTGTAACTCACCACCACCAGGAATATTAATATATTGTCTCATTGATAGGATTCATCTGAATTTATATCATGTGCCCCGTCTCTTTCGAAAAATATAATGATTCTTGTGTTGGGATAAAACCATTATGTTGTGTAAATACGGTACTTTCTTAACCTAGGGTCAGTTTGCCTCCAAAAGATATGCCAATTGTACATGAACAAAAAATAAATAAATAAATTCAAAATTCAGAGCCATTTTCATCCATTTTGTAGCAAATTCTAACTAATAGATTACCATCATTCCTACACTGCACTGCTTTATGCGCAAATTTCTCTTTCAAATGAGATCCATGTGCAGTCATAGCCACTTTAGCTCATTGTGACCAAAACAAATTATGTACTGGATGATTTCAAGTACCAGTAACAGCTGCTCAGCCACTGGGGAACACCAGGTATTTTGCAGTTGTGACCATGTATGGAGTAGATCTTGTCAGCTCCAGGTTCTTGAGACGTTTCAGATCTCCTTGGGGAAATGCTGGCTGTAAAGACAAGATCCTCCCCTTCATATAAGAAGCACTTTATATAGAAAGTTTCCTGGAGTAAGACAAGCCGAATAGCTTCCCAGGAAAGATGGTGAGTTCAGTCTATGTGGAGAACTGATCTAAATTTTATTATCACCTTACGGATCGATGAGATATTGATTTAAGAGTGCTTATGTTAGAGAAGGATTTATTTCTGATAGTGCTGCTATACAAGTTACTCAAAAGTAAGTCCCATTGAGTTCAGTGGTGCTTTCTCTGACGTAGAGGGGTATAGGATTGTAGACCTCATTGTACCACCAAATGGCAGATGCAGGGGAGGGGTATCAGGAGACAGGTATCTAGTTGTCTTGTGTGCCCTCAGAGGTATCTGGTGAGGCCACTGAGATACAGGAAGCTGGAGTAGATGGGCCCTTGGCCTGATCCAGCAGGGCCCTTCTTATGTAATCTCTATACTGGATGTTTTATAACAGAGTCTACAGGTTGCATATTGTTAACTGGAAAGAGGGGCCATTTATGGTTGATGGGTTTGCCAAGACCACTGCCAAATAAGAGAATGGTGTCACTGAGATCATTATTTCTTCCTTTCAGGCCAGCAGAAAAACCAAGAAGAAGGAAGGTGGTGCCAAACGGGCTCAAAGGGCTTCTTCTAATGTATTCTCCAACTTTGAACAAACACAGATTCAAGAATTTAAGGAAGTAAGGAAATCTCCTTCCCGTATATAGAGGGGCATTTTGAAGTGACAATTTGGGAGTTTTTCCATTACAAAATGAATTGTTTGTCTATCAGAAGTGAGACTGGATGTCGCTCACGTGGTATATAGCGGGGCATTTTGAAGTGACAATTTGGGAGTATTTCCATTACAAAATGAATTGTAATCAGAAGTGAGACTGGATGTCGCTCACGTCAGTGTATTTTTAATAGAACTTTTAAAAGGATGGCTGTTCAGTGCAAATACCACTGGTTTGCATGAAAATCTCTTTCGAATAGAAAAGGATGGCTGTTCAGTGCAAATACTGGTTTGCATGAAAATCTCTTTCGAATAAGAGCCATTAATCAGGATTTGATAGGATTGTTCTTTGATGGAATTGCTTCTATTGATGGGACCAGGGGACAGACAATTCTCCTTCTGGACTGAAGCTCTTGTGCCTAGTCAAAACTGGCTCTGCAGACCAGCAAATGAGCATAGCAGGGTTTTCAGTAGAAACTGCAGTGTGAATGAAGGGAGAGAAAGGCTGTCCCTGCAGGTGTTTGGGCACTAAGAAATGGTTGGGTTTAGGCTCTGTGTTAGTTTTAGCCTAGGTACCTTGGCATATATGGATCTTCGAAAGAACAAAGTCAAACAATAAAAAAGTCCAGCAAAGTACATAAGAGGGCAACATTAGTTTTGAATAGTTTTTTAACAGTACAATCCTGTGCATGTTTACTTAAAAGTAACCCCCCCTATGTTTAATAGGACTTACAGAAGAGCATATACAGGACTGCAGCCTCAGTCATATCAAAACGGGGAAACAGAATAAGGACAGAAGATTTGTGTTAACTGAACTGAAGTGTGTTCCACTTCAGTTCAGTTCCATGGGGCAGACATGATTCAGGCATACTTTCATGCTTGAAAAATCAGTTTTCAAAGGAATCCTGTCCTGAAGATTAAACAGACAGAAAACCCCATAATTTTGTGAGAAAAATACAAATTAACTCACTATGAATTTGCACCTGGGGAGATGGGTTTCCTTGGAGAAAGTCATGTTAGCTGGCCAAACAGGGAGAGAGGAGGAAATTGGGAAATAGCCTTGTTTGCAGTTTGTTAACTTGGTTCTTCTGTAGCTCCTCTGATTTGTAGAAGTTATGGTTACAGGAGCACTTCTGTAATAAACTATAAACAAGGGCCAATTAGTGTAATTTATACAATTAAACTTGCATAGGCAAAAATCCCCAATATGATTCTGGTCTTTATGGTTTATAATTATTAAGTTTAAAAGGCAAGTCTACAATGCTGTAACTTCAAAATTTATCATATTAATAAGGTACCTTATTAATATGATAATATTAATAGATTTGACTCACTGTCTCCTGCATAGTGAGTCACGCAATTTGGTATGCATCAGATAACGCCTGCAGAGATTTCTAAACTTGAGGCAATTCACCTCTAAAAGTCATGCCTTTTGGGTAATTGATGAAAAGGCATTAAGTCATTGAAAACTAAAATCTTCTCCACTGAAATAAATGGAGCTTAGACTTCAGGTAAGGAAGATTAGAACTGGCATGTAAATATTGTTGTTTTTCAGGTAACTGGTTAGACTCATTTAAGATTTATAAACTTATTAAACTTTTTAATAGGCTTTCACACTAATTGATCAGAACAGAGATGGCTTCATTGATAAAGAAGACTTAAAAGATACTTACGCGTCCTTAGGCAAGTATTATGAAATGACCTCTTCCCTTTAAAGTTCTATATTTGTAATAATTATCATAACGATCAAGATATGATTTTTTTCCCAAAGGCAGCATAGAACATAGTACACTTTTGAAATTATGATTAACTGTGTCACCATGTCACAGATCATCAGAACCCTTCCTGTAGGGCACCTCATTGCAGATGTGCTTTCTCCTCTTAATATAATTTCAGTCACCTTGTTAGAAAATGTCTATCAACTCTTTTCCAAGTGCCATATTTCATTAATTCAAAAAGCAAGACTAGGGACTGAAGGTTGTTTTTCAAGATTTGCTACTGCCATGAATTGCTTGAGTTCCTTGTGGGTTTTTTTTTTTTTTTTTTTTTGCAATTCATAGAATTCATAGAATTGCAAAAGAAATGAAATATGTGGGAAACATTAGAATATAGTATTTTCCCCCTAGTACTTTGCAAGTATAAGTTGGGAAAAGTCTCAATTTAATATCAAGCACAAATACATACATTTGATACATTTATATTCTCTCTCTCTCTGCTCATCTAACCAGTGGTTACTCTGGGCAATTTACCACGACCACAAGACATAAAAACAACATAATCAAACATATCATTAAATAAATTAAACAAATATTAAAGAAATAAAAAATTTGAGACAATTGAATAAAAGGCCAGGTAAATTTCAGTTGGCAGCTCATTCTAGAGGTGGAGTGTGACCGCTGAGAACGGCTGGGTCCTTGTTCTCTCCTTCCGGGTCTCTCTCGAGGTTAACACCCTCAGCTGTCCAGCCTAGGAGGAATGAGTTGGACGGGCAGTCCCAGCTGGGAGTAGGCATCCTGCCGTGTACAGTATGCTGATCAAGCAATATGTCATTTTTGTCTGTTTTTAGGTAAAACAAATGTCAAAGATGATGAACTGGAATCCATGCTTAAAGAAGCTACTGGACCTATTAATTTTACAATGTTTTTGAACCTGTTTGGGGAAAAGCTAAGTGGTGAGTTTAAGTCTGTCTTACAAAAACTATTTTTCCTGAAACCTGTTTCAAGGATCTTTGCGTCTCACAGATTAAGGCAAAAAGAGGTAATAAATTGTGTTGCAAATGAGTAAAATGTCCTTCTATAGACTAAAAGCGATATGTAACATTCTGCAAACATCGAAACCCAAACAGAAGGGAAAATTGAAATCGTCTTTGAGGAATTTAGTCTTTGCAAATCCTAGTGTGAATCACTGACCTTCTGTGAAGGTTCTAGATTAATGTGGGGATCAGAACTTAATTAATCTTCAGATTTTGCACTTCTTCAAATGATACAATAGAAAATGTCCCCAAATGTACTTAAAAGTCTGTACATCCTAAAATATATACTTCAAAATAAAGATACCTCTCCTCCAATATTCCCCTTATGTCCTCTATTGGATCACCCAAGCTTTAACTCTGAGAAATATGTGCAATTTAAACATTGGAAACAAATTGGAATATATAGAATTAAGGATTTACGTATCTGAATCAGGAGAACCAATTGCTGTTAGAGAAAACAAAGCAAATAAGAACCAACTGGCTACAAATAAAACAAATAAGGAGCTTTGCAATATTATTATATAAAAAAATCTGGCCCTATAAGAGTATTAACGGACTTTGAACAATACTGTATACAAAAAGATAAAAATAAAAGGATAGGATTGACCTCATCAATATATAAATGTATTATTGAGAAAGAACATGGTAAGGGCAGAGAAGCCAAAGCATCCTGGAAAACAAATTTAAATATTAATATACCTGAAGAGATTTGGGTAGACGTATGAAATAAAAATATCAATTTCATTCGGCATCAGCTAAAATGAAAGAAATGGTTCTGAAGTTGTTCACAGATGACAGCTATAGCCTATGAAGCTGCATAAAATCAACAGGGATATATCAGATGAGTGTTAGAGAAAATGTGGACGAAAGGGAGCTTTGGAACATGTATATTGCCATGATATAATCAATTAGACAGAAATACTGACTAATCACAAAGTAATTGTGAACGAAAGATTACTATTATTTTTAGCATTTACAGGGGGAAATGAGAACCTACTTAATAAACACCTAATTGCAAATATTATACAGACAGCAAGGTATGAGATTGCTAAAAGATGGAAAAACACCCAAGATCTTTCATTACAGACAGTTTTGAATAGGATATGGCAAAGACTCTTGATGGAGAAATTGACCAATAAGACCAGAATATACAGAGGAGAAATAAAGCACAGTCAGTTTTTTGAAACTTGGAAACCTTTATTAAAATACACAAATGAGAAGTTACATGATTTAGGAAATAATATGGATTGCTCAGATTGTTGGTTGGCAGCTTTCTAGGATGGAATGGGGATTTGAGATTAATTGTAAATTTGTTAATTGGTGTGAATAGCTGTTACAATATTTAGTAAGATAAAGAGTTAATTGTATTATCTATTTGTAATGTGTTTGATTGTCAAAAAAATAAAGATACCTTATAAATCCATTTTTTGTGAATAAATATGTTTTAAATTTTTGTGTAGACGTTTGAACATTACAAATTAATGCTGGGATGTATTTATGAATGAACACATGTGAAACTGGCATGTAATAACTTTTTGAAGAGCATGTTGTAATTATAGCAGTTGTTGGGACGCCACTGAGATGTACATATGTGGAGATGTACCAAATAAAGTACCTGGCTGGGTAGCTCAGTCAATTAGGGATCTGACTGCAGAGCCGGACGTTGGGAGTTCTATTCCCTACCGTTCCTCCTGGGAGAAGTGCCAGCCTGTGTGGCTTTGGGCTAGATGTACACATTAGATCCATAGAAGAAATGAATGGTAAACCACTTCTGAGTGTTCTGTATCTAGAAAATGTGGGAAAAGATTACCATAAATCGGAATCTTGACAGCATAATATTAATTAATTAATAATTATTATGCTGTCAAGATTATGATTAATTAAGTAATTATCTGTTAAAATAGGCTCTAGGCCAGCCACTCTCAACAGAGACCATATGGCTCCCCTCAAGGGCCCTGGCACATGGCACTGGAAACCATCCTTCTACAGACTGGAATCCATTCTTCTACAGACCATCTTACAACGTTTGTTATGTGACTTATACAATCCTGATTTGGCCTAGTATTTATGGCCGTGGCCAAAAAAAAATAAAAAAAATAAAAAAAAAAGATTGAGAGTGGCTGGTCTAGGCCATGAAATTTATACAAAATAATAGTATTAAGTCTTTCATGTGCCAATAGACATGTTGATCTTTAGGATAACAATGTTAACGGTCTGTGAAAGAGAACTAAAATTGTAAGAGTGATGGGCCGTTTGCTGTTCTAAAATGAACTACTCCTGGAGACATCCCTCAGATCCTGCTGTCCCCATATTACTTTTCCAAACCAAAACCTGTTGCTGTCTTCTTGCATCTTAATGGCTCCCTGTCTATCATGGCATCATGAATGATACCGGTGTATCAAGACAATTTGGGTCTAATGTTCACACAAACACATCTCTGCTGCTTCCTCACACACATATGTATAGGTGATTGTAACATTATATGGGCTTTTAAAATCACTGTCTGTGAAGGCTGCAGCGTTATTGGCATTTTCTTTCTCACTCTTATAGTACGTTGTCGCTTGTCAATTGTTCATCTTGCCCTATTTATTTTATGAAATTCAACAGTCTTTCCATTCCCTGCTTCTGATCACAGCAGACTCCAGGCAATTTTAGGGAGGGCTTTGCTTCTAAAGTGAACTCTGCGATGAGGGACCCCAGCATAAGACCTACTGAATCAAAATGCTGATAACAACTGGAGTCAGTAATCTTCTATCCCTGGGTGGCGCATTCTGAACATCTGGTTTTAAATATTGTTTCGTATTCATCACAAATATCAGCACTGCCCGCCTAGTTTCAGCTGTATTCCATTCTTTTCTACAGGGACGGACACTGAAGAGACAATACTTACTGCATTCAAAATGTTTGACCCAGAGGGTAAAGGAAACATTAACAAGGATTAGTAAGTATTAGCCTTCTGTGTAGTATCCCTCTTGGCTATTGGGAGGTCCTGCCTGTTGACTTGTACAGAGCAAAGTGTCCTAGATGTTGATGGGCCATTGTCTTCACATCATTCTGCCCCCCAAAATCACACATGAAGTGTTGCATAGGGAAGAATTTCAAATAAAAAAAGAGGCAAGTAGTAGGAATGTTGAACTCTTTGCCCACCATCGTCATAGGTTGGTTGGTTCCGGTATCTACTCTTTTGAGCATGCTGATCATACTATATCTCATACAGATTTTATAGGGTACTAGCTGTTGCTTAGAGTAACACAAACCATAGATTTTGGCCATTGGCACCAAGCCAATGAGTGCATGTCCACTGGCCTATCATAACCAGGACCCCCCCCCCTTTTCTAACCAAGGAGGAACAGACCAAGAGTTGCAGTTTGTCTTATGCTAAGCAACAGGATTTCAGCCATTACAATATTCCCTCTAAGCTGCACAGCTGTACAGTGCTATATTGGTGTTGTGCACCTGCAGTTTGTGTTGCTACTCATTTGGTTCTAGTCGTGGCCTTAACTTTACGCCCACGAGATGGGGTTTCCGCTCAGTATTTGTGGAAAATTAGGAGGAACATTGATGTGAAGCTTGTCTGTACTAGAGGGGGTGAGATGTGTGGCCCACCAAATAAATCTTGGACTGCTACTCCCATCATCCATAATCGGAAACGTCTATTATGAGGGATAGTGGGAGTTAAGATTCACGAACATCTGGAGGGCTACGTATTTCTCATCCTTGCCTACACTCTATCAGGGCTGGAAAGGATCTCCCTACTGGAAGGATTATCCTTTCCCAAACCAAACACGGCCCTGGTAAGTAACCAGGCAGTCAAGGAATCCATGGGAGCAGTATTGGCAAATGTTGCACTCCCGAAAGAGACCTTTTAGTGCTGCCTCCCCCACAAGATATAACCAAATCTTGAGGATTTAACCTGTGTCAAAACCAATACTGAACACAGAAGTTATTTTTATACAACTTTTAAAGTTGCTTCTGACTCTCATTACCATCATTTGCTTGTTATAAACATCTAATTTCCTTTCTTTTCCCCACACCCACAGTATAAAACGTTTAATGATGTCACAAGGTGATAAGTTTAGTGCTGAAGAGGTTTGTATTCTCTTTTTAAAAATCAGTACTGGTGTTTTTGTTTATTTATTTATTAATTATGGGGTTTTTTTAAAACTGCCATTAAACTTTTCAAGAGGTGGACAGGCTAGTTTGATCAACAGCACAAGATGGCAAGGCCATCTAAAGCAACACAAGTTGCGTATGAAGACATGAAGTGTAATTATAATAAGGGGGGGGGGACATTGCCCTACAACCGAAGTCACTAACAAGAGGTCTTCAAAGTTTCAAGCAGAGGCTTTCTCAGTTTTTACCCAATGTTCAGCTGGATGCCATGGGTTCAAACTGTGATCTTCTGCATGCAAAACACATGCTCTGCTTCTCTTTGATGGAAAGGATGGGACTGCCTATGGTTTAACCTGAGAATCAGGCAGTTTTAGATTTAAGGAAATGCAAATAGCTTCTTAGTTATGCACATGCCCAAGTGCAATCATTATCAGTAATCGATCACTCATACGCTTTTAGTGACTATGCTACATTATTATTATTGGTACATGGGGAAACGCATGGTTTAATATAATGTTATTAACAGTACTAAATTTACTGCTTTTACAATTAACTTATTGTGGTTCTTCTGTGGGAAGATATTTTTCACACGTAGTTGTCTGTTAAAACTATTTAGACATTTTTCCTGCTGGTATATAACACTGATCGAATTTCCTTCTCACATTTATGCTACTTAAGTTGAAATTATACTTATGCTTTGAGTCGCATAAGCTTGGAAAGTGACTTCGTTTTAAAAACTGCAAAAACGCTTTGTACTTCTGCAACAGGCCTAACCTCTTCCATTACATATGCATTTCCTTGTTTATGTACAGATGGATCAGATGTTCCAGTCTTCTCCTATTGATGCAGGAGGAAACCTGGACTACAAGGCTCTCTGCTATACCATCACACATGGAGATGAGGAATAAGCCTGTTTTTTTTGGGGGGGAAGCCATTTCAAAAATCTCTTGTCTGTGCATTAAGAATAAAACAAATATGTATTAACTTTCCTTCTTCAAGGTTGCAAACTTCATATTATTTGTACAAACATCCTCCTAAACATGTCAAATGTATGTTAACCATGTTGGCAGCAACATAGAGTTATTACTTTTTTAAAAATAGGAGACCTGTGTGGAGTGCTTCCTTCCTTGTAGACCTGAAAGTGTAGTTGCAAAACAGTTGCATCATATACCTATAGAATCATTTTAATTTCCTGAAGCAACCAGCATATTTGCCTTATAAGGACACTTTAAAGCCACCATTATCAGTAGAGGTGGAGCATTTTTACCAGCAATGGACATGTCTTGTTCTCCTATAATCCAGATGGGGCTGTGAAGGGCTGGATAGATGAATGGGAACAATATGGCCAGAACAGTAACCATTGCAACTGAACTTCCCTGCTGGAAGTAAGCATTACTGTTATAGGTATTGGCTAGCAGCTCTTCTGTGGGGCACATCATCTTCCACTACAGCTAGTAGGCCCCTGGAAGTGACCCTTTTGAAAAAAAAAAGCCTATGTACTACCGTATTTAATTTTGGTAAAAAAAATAATAATTAAAAAGACATTTTGTGCATATGGAACTGTCTGTTTATTCGGTGAAGCGCCACAAAATTTTGCTGTAATTTACCAGACGTTCTTTGAAAAAAATACAAGTTTCGATTATTAATTTATTTGATTTTTACCCCGCCCCTCTAGACAAGTTCCAAAAGATGATTATTCAGGCCCAAGCTAAGCATGCCGGAAGAAATTTTTGTAACCTCCCATGTTCCCCTCATCCACCCTGGCCCGTAATATGCAGCCCTTCCTTCAGCTATACCTGTTTCCCCCATGAAGCAAGTGGTAGCCTGGATAGATATGGGCATATGGATCTTCATACTGTGTGCACTGGGACAGAAGAGACTTCCTGTGAAGAACCTTTCTAGAATGTTCCATACAAGGTACTGCGTTTCCCCGAAAATAAGACAGTCTTGTCTTATATTAATTTTCCCTCCAAAAAAAACGGATTAGGGCTTATTTTCTTGGGATTTTTTTTGGATTAGGGCTTATTTTCTTGGAATTTTTTTTCCTGTACAAAGATCTACATTTATTCAAATAGTCATGTCATCTTCTGGTTGCTGCACAATGGTGGAGGTGGGGGTTTCACTTAATTGGGGCTTATTTTGGGGGCAGGGCTTGTATTACAAGCATCCTGAAAAATCATACTAGGGCTTATTTTCAGGTTAGGTCTTATTTTTGGGGAAACAGGGTACCTCACAGGTGTAGGGCTCTTACATGTGACACACAAAGACCATGATGAAGAACCTACTGTATGTTTGTCCTCCACAGCAAGAGCTGCCATGCATGGAAGGTTCTGCTCAGTTTTCAAACTGGAACTTCACCTAGACAAAGAAACATGTTCTAAAACTTCCTTACCAGTGTGACTGGGTAATTGCTATCACTGTCTAAGATGGCAGTGAACTTACTCCCACCTACATAAGTGTTAAGTGTCAGGCTAACTGGCTCAAGAAAGCCAATCTTTGGAAGGTTTACCAAATACACATTATTTCATTTCTCCTGAATTGTTCTGAATAATTTAACTTCAAAAGTAGCACCTGCTAATTCTGCTTAGCCTACACGCTCTTACATATGCTCCTTCTGCTCTGTGCAATTGGTTCATTCGAAATAGTGAAAAAGACGACCCTTTTAATTCCAAAAAAAGCATTGATGAAATATAATAAAAGCGCTAACTCCTTAGGGCTGTAATTATAAACATAGATTTTTATTCTGTTATAAATTAAAAAAAGATAAATATTGAACTCATTTAAAATTAACAATGTATAAAACATTAAGGGACCAAATAGCATTAAGGAAATATCACTTAGGTTGGATTTCAGTGTATAATATAGTGCATTGTCAAGAAGCAAAAATACTATGATCAGTCAACAACAAGGTTCTTGAAAGATTATATACATCACTCACAAAGCAAGTATCATTTTCCTTTCATACTAAAGTGCAGCTAAGAAGAAGGCATGGAAATAGTACATTAGGCAATGGCAGGCTTCTTGAGAGTACAGTTGTGTTTTAGACTGACATTAATGCACAGACGTTTTAAGGGGAAGCTGTATGACAGTCATCAGGCACAGACATTATGGTTTCAACTTAGCGGTAATATCCAAAATAAATAGGCTGCCTTGTTGCTTAACCACAGCCTAGATACATTTACACTGGTGTTTATACTGGACATATACATGTCGAGTAACAGAGCATGAGGAGCAAGAGATATGAAACCAGAGCTTGAAATTATTTCACATCCCTCTTAGGTTTAAGTTTCAACATTTTATGAGAACCACCAGAGGCTCTATGAGGTTTTATATACAGTACAGCTTTCACATTGCTAGCCACTAGCGTGAGATTTTAGGCATCCCCCCTGAGTAGTAACACTTTGGTATATTCTGCCAGCAGCTCTGGGTTAACTTTCTTTTTTTAAAAAAAATTGCTCTCAATGGCAATGTTTCATGGCTTCACTTTCAGTTGACCCAACACCAGACCCCAAATACATCATCTGTACACGACATGGAGCAACAGTTAATTCAGCATTAGGGACACCACTTGGAATACCTAACAACTAAATGCATGCCTCTCTCTCATCAGACACTCAACGACATGGAGCTAACGTGTACATTGATATTGGATTATTACTGCCTGTGATAAGTACCAGCATCTCACAGACAACTGATCCCATAATATTGAATTCAAAGTCCTGATGTTCTCCTGTAATTACTTCCACTCAAAAAATATAGGCTGATCATTTAATAAATAGTATCTTAAGCCAAATACCCAATGGGCTGAAAATATTAATCTGCAGATTACATATGGGCAATAGGGTTGTGACGATGATGATTCTTCATCTCTTGGATTTGCATCTCTGAAGTCTTTCTGCTGCAAGCATTTACATTTCAAAAATAAAGGGCCACAGCAGTATTAGGGTTTTCCAAGAAAAGTGCAGAGAAAGCTAAGATAATGTTTCAGCAGGCGACAAATATGCCGTTTCTTCTTCTTCTTCTAAGACATGGTGCTCTGGTCTGAACAGAGACACAGCAAACTTCAGCGCCACCAAACCAATTCTGACACAGATGCGCAACAGAAGGAAGGCAAATGGAACAATGATCTGGGTGAGATGGAAAATAGTTGTACTCAGCTCGCTTACAATACATGTTAGGAAGAAGACCGTAAGGCTTACACTCGGGTAGAGAGCAAGCTTGGCAAACATAAAGGCATGTTCTTTGCCCCCGTACCTAGCAAAAGGATGGAGTGTCTCCCTTTGGTGGAAAAGGGCAGCCGTCCATATGGCAAACTGGAAGATGCTAGCAAAGAAGATGGTGACACAGCTAACCTGGATGGCTTCTATTTCATTGTAAGAAGACTTATCTGCAAACTCACTGGTCAGCTGATACGCGAGAGGTAGACCTCCAATAAATGCCAGCGAAAGAGTATTAAGGAGACTCATCAGTCGAGTTGCTTTCGTCACGTGAAGGAAAAGCGAATGGTGAACAAACCAAAGAAGGCCAATAGTAACAAAAGAACCAAAGTAGGCAAGGAGATTGGGACCATATTCACTCAAAGCATTGATGAGATGACCACGGTATTTCTCTCTAACCTCTGTACGATCAGGAACATTATCTTCACTGTTGTAGGGAGGGAAAACATAATATTTCAGTTACACATATTCAGGCATGAATATATTTCTCACAATCATATTCAGTAGTTGAAATTTGTTGTGTAACTTATGCCTGCAGAATGGTGATGATATAACTGGCAGGGGGCAATTTTTGATAATTAAAAACTCCCTCCTACTTTCTCATAGGCTCTGTCCTGTTTCTTTTCCAACTCAAGTATAAACCATTTCATCAGATGGAAGCCGTGGGAGCTGTAGGATAGAAGGAGGAAGTCTTTAATTTCTGAAAATGGACACCACCAGGTGGTGACCTATCATTTCTGCTAATTAGGAGGGAATGTTCTCTATCTAGCAATCGCCCCATCAAGGTTACAGGTCTTGGGAATCTTTTGTCACATGACGACTCTGTGCAGGACTGGATATGTGTCATAATTCCTATAAAATCTAGGTGGCAGAATTCAGCTTCCTAAGAAAGCCAGTGCCCATTTAAAAAAAAATAGAAAGGATCAAGTCTATATTGTACATAGGGCTGTGGCAATGTGTTTCAAAGTGTGTCAACTACGTCTAAAGAGAAAACATGGGTGGTCTGAATTACAGTTCCTGGAAACTAGAGATATGGCTTCAGTGCCCCACAAATGACAAATAAGATCAGAGTAAAAACAACAAAAAGTCTCGTTTGGCTTAAGCTTCCACAAACTGTAGCCTCCTTCTTCAGATGCAAGTCTGATGTCTGAGGGACATCTGAAGAAATGGGCTACAATTTGTGAAAAAGTATGCAAACAAATATTTTGTTACTTATCAAGGGCTACAAAATGTCTCACTTTAACACCCAACTACGTCCTTACAAACAACCTGGGTAATTTATGCAAAGTATTTTATAAAATACTAAATAAATTATGCAAAATAAGAAAAATGTGCATATCCCAAGTTGCATAATTTACATAGGTCTCAGAATCCAGCCTGTAGTGACACAAACTCTGGACTGTCTAAACATCACATTTCAACTTTAGCAGTATGTAGTACTCAAAGCCCCAATGGTGGGGTACCATTAATGAAGCAAATGCAAATATTATTTGGATACATGAAGCTTTGGTGTTTCCCATAAGAATTGACAATATTACCTCTGTAAGACACTGGAGGGGGGGTCACATAGCCAAAATAATAATAAAAGAGAGGTTTAAATCCTCAAACCACATCTACCTGTATGCATATGAAGTCCCCCCCCCTTACAACTGTATTTCCATATGAAGAATGTGGAATTATGACCAATACTGGATTCAGTATTAATTCTAACACATTGCAATTGCTGAAGCCTTACCATATATCCAGAATTAACAGTGTTGCTACAATCGCATAAACTCCATCACTGAATGTTTCTATGCGCTCCTTACTCAAGGGTTCGGTGAGATAAAAAGTAAATGACTCTAGGGGGACCTCTTCTTCTTGACCTGCAAACCATAATGATCACGCTTAATAAAAGGATAAGCTTTTCTTCTCACTCTCCAGAAAGACTTATTTCACCATTTCAAATTATTTCACAATTTCAAGTTATTTCACCATTTCACTTTCAGTGGTCACTGAAAGCACTGTTCCTTTTTATTGCAATACCTCCCCCCTCCACCCACCTCTGGGTCTGGCACTAGTCGAGAACGCTTAGCATCTCCAACCGTAGTAGAGGTCAGCGGTAGGTGCCTATTGCGAGGTCGAAAAGGAGGCAGAGGAATATAGCCCTCTTCAGCCTCAGGTGCAATGTCACGCCATCCGCAGTACTGAGGTGGAGCCAGCAAAAAGGGTTTGAAGTGTCGATATCAAGGGTACGGGTCATAATGATAGGGTCCTGGATGAAAAGGCAGGTCCTGTTCAGAGTCCTCCGCCCCGTACGCTGGTCGGTAGTCAAGGTAATGCCACTGGCCTCAACAAGAAGGGCACCCCCTCAGCTCATTTGGGGCTGGGGCAGAGTTATAGCCAGCCTGGGGGAGGTCCTGGCACCATGTGCTCGACCTAGAAAGTTCCGAGGCTGCTCCATGCAAGCACGGATTAACCCATTCGTGTGCATTCACAGAGACCATGAAGAAGAACTTACACCTCTCCTGTTTCTAAAGAGAGAAGTCCTGTCTGAAAAGACGGTGTTCACCAGCAGCCGCTCTTCCTAGCTGTATATAAGGGACATTAAAGGACATTTTATTGGGTTGACTAAGACCAGATGCCCTTTGGGCGTCTCTCAATACTAGAACAGTGCTTTCAGGGACCACTCCAGCTGCCACCTAACTCCCCCCGCCCCCATCTAACATTGTGTCCCTAAGACCTGGTACCCAAATCAGTTTCATTTCCTCTTCTCTTTTCTTATCATGCCTGCTAGATTTTAAAGCCTGCACTGAGCAATTGTCTAGCTTTGAAATCTCCGTGCAATTCTTAGAAAAATCTCAAAATTATTATTATAAACAACTGCAACACTCACCAAGAAACTTGCTTTTAAACCATTTTGTGAGGTGGCTGAGATGTGGGAAAAAAATAACAAGCCCAAGGAAGCCGTAAGACTGCAAGAAAATAAAAGTTTATTTATTGCCTGGAAATCTTTCATATTTTTTTGCAACAAAATGCTTGTAGTATGGTATTTGCAGTAGGACAAATACAGTTTTGCTCTACTAACAACATGTTAGGAACAGCCACGTCTGAAAGTAAAGCGCCCCAGCTATTTGCCTCCAGCTGAATTGTTCAACAAAGGCATGTGTCAGAGTAAAAGCAACTCTGAGTTGAAGCTTTTCCTGATGAACTCAAAATAAAAAATTTATGCAGACATGTCTATGTAGTAAAGGTATCTTGGTAGAATAGTTCCTGTAATATGTAAAAGCAAAAGTTCTAGGAAAAACACTAGGACAGATTCATCCATAAAACAGGGCATTGAAAGAAATGTGCTTCTCTTTTGCAAATACAGTGGTGCCTCACTTGACGATGCTAATCCGTTCCAGCGAAATCGCTGTAGAGTGAAATCGTTGTCAAGCGAAATAAAAAAAAACAACCATTGGAATGCATTAAAAACCATTCAATGCATTCCCATGGGCGAAATAAATCACTGTCCAGCGAAGCTTCTCCGTAGGGCGGCCATTTTCTGCTCCCTGTCTTGTGAAGAATCCATCCCTAACACAGCGGGGAGCCATTTTGTACAGCTGGCAGCCATTTTGAAACCCGACAATAAGCTGTTTTGTGATCGTTGTTAAGCGAAAAATCGGTTCCCAAAGCAGGTAACCTATCAATGTTAAGCAAAATTCCCCCATCTAAATATTGTTTTGCGATCGCAAAAGCGATTGCAAAAACTTCATCGTTAAGCAGATTTGTCATGGAGCGGGGTAATCGTCCAACGGGGCACCACTGTATCTCTACTTTTTGAAATACAGGAACACACGTTAGGAAAATTTTTTTGTCTATACAGTACAACCCCCCCATATCTGCAGGGGACTGGTTGCAAGCCTACCCACGGTGGATGCTGAAAAACATTTATTATAGCTAACTCTATTTTACAGTGGACATTATCCACAGCATGTCTCTTGCTCCCTCTGGTATCTTCATTTTTAGAAATATATATTTCTAGCATTTTTTCGTGGATACACGAATCTGCGGATACTGATCATGAAGATACAGGGGTCCTACTGTACCCAAAAACTTAGGGTAATTTTTTTTAAAACCCACTGAATAAACAAACAAAGCAAACAGTCAATTGTAATATTATACAGACTCACTATACAAAACAGAGCAAACCCAACCAGTTTTAGCTGCATAGATTTAGAAAAGCCATCAGTTTAATCAAGGAAAAAAGTACTCATTTACTCCATCTCTTTTAAAAGAAAACAAGCAAACCCCAGAGATGACAAACTAAGAGATATGAGCCATAAATCTGCCCTGCTTGGGTTTGGTGTGCTGCCTAAACCACTCCTCCAGGATCAGATATGTTCCATCAAATGCTAGTACCATGAACAATTTTCCTTCCATGCAAAACTGTCACTCTACATTGCAAACTAGAGTAAAAGGCACAAGCAGAGACACCAAGCTTTCGAAAGATGGGAGGACTGAGATAGAGAGCCTGTAGCATTAATTGAAAATAACAGTGAGAAAAAGATAAGACAAACATTGCCACCACCCACCCAACCCACAAACCCTACAGGCCAGGATCCTGTCGGGCACCTGTTGAACCTAAAGTAACATAGGACCTCCTGTTTGTGCAACCACTCAAGTGGAGATCCATACGGCAAACAGCTGAGTTATGCATTTCACAAGAAGGCGCTCAATACCTCATTGCACAAGTAGGGGGGAAAAACCAAGGCATATACATTAATTCCATTGCACAAGTGGATTTCTAACAAGATTCAGGTCATTCGTTTCTTCGGAGCAAGGAGACAACATGGAAAACTGTGCGGTGGCTACAGCCACTGTACCACAACACCCTCATTCTTCAACGCACTCAGATAACTGAAGAAGCACAAGAAATGTGGTGGGGGATGACCTCTCCATGCCTGGTATGAAGAAGCACAATAAATGTGGTGGGGGATGACCTCTCCATGCCACCAGCATCAAAACAACTCAAAGTGTTTTGAACATGCTCAGTGGATACAGAACACTGACTTACAGAATGGACAACCAGGGTGGAGTTCAGTGGGTGAACGGCATAGACGATGCAAAGAAGCATTTCTTCCCACCATGACTGATACAATAACAGTGGTTTAATAGCTGAATTGTAAACATTTTGTTTGAAGAGAGCAGTAAAGCAGGCTATCCAACTTAGGAACAACAGTCAAAAGTAAGACGTTAGCAACTTAATTAATTGAGAAAACTATTACGCCTTTAAAAAGGGAAAAGCCAGACAAGCATTTCTTGTTGAATTACACGCCAGCTTTTTGCTACAATGTCGAATCAAATGAAAAGAATGAAAACAATTTGTTTTCTGGGCAATCATGAAACGCTCAAGAGTCAGTCATGCTTTGGGAATCCTGGAAATCATCACCAAAAAGCCTGGGAGCATTTTGCTACCTGGCCCCTCAGCATAGTGGCACCGATTGGTAGATGCATCCAAAACTAGGGCAGCTGGATTTCCTAAGGCAACCTTCGGCAACTTGCTGTGTTGCAGTCTGTGCATCATCATCATTGTTCCAATTTAGGCAGGACTTACCAAAGGAATGAAGAAAAATGAGAAGATGGCAGCAAAGAAGCAAAGTGTTGGTCCTTTTAGAATAATCTTCAGTATGTGATGTTTATAAAATGCCCGGTTTTCAGACTCCTGTATTTCATGGTTAAGTAAATAAGGATGGTGGAAGCCATACATTACTATGACTGCCTACAGAGTGAAGAAAATGTTCCATTAGTATAGAAGATCAAGAGACTTACTTATTGATGTTATGGTAATTGGGTGTTATAAGAACAAGCCTCGGGTCCACAAACTTCTTCATCCCTTGCACATGGAGACTGCGTAATTCCCAATCCCCAATTATAGCAAACCACAGTTTCCCATTTTCTCCACACTACAATCCAGCCCTGCATGTTGTTACAGCCTCATCCGCTCCTCTGGCTGGTGGAAATGAATTTACACCTTCCTTTCAGGCAGAGAGAAGCAATGCACAGCCCTCCAGATGCTACTGGAGTGTAAGTCCTAGGACCCCTCATCAGCTGGCCTGAGCTGGTGGAAACTACAGGCCAACATCTGGAAGGCCCTCTTCTTGCCCAACCCTCTTGTAAACAGATGTGTACCCTCATGAGAAAAGCAGTGTCTGTGCCATCTCATCATCATCACATTCTTCTGATTAAAAATGACTGCTTCTTTCCTGCCAACAGCAAAGAGTCCTGTGTAGAGATGGGCACGATTCGCACCAGTTCATTTTTCAGCCAAACAGGTGTCCGGCGCTTCTCGGCCCTACCTCCTCCAGCAGCCGCCCACTCAGAGGCAGTGCCCTGATTTCCTTGCCCCGCCTCCTCCAGAAACTGCCTCTGATTGGGTGTGCACTGAAGGAGGCGGGGCTAAGAAGTAAATAACCATTTCTATTCCTTGAAAACAGTTTTAGCTAGCACACCTTTCCATGGAACTACAGCCTGCTTGAGCTGGGTTCCACCAGAGCTGCGCCCAATAAAACTGGTCTGTCCTTAAGATGCTACAGGACTCCTTGCTGTTTCTGTCAGAAGAGACTAACAAACCTACCTTCCTGAAAGTTTCCTATTAATATTACATTATACTTATGTAGTTTTAAACCCTGAGACAAAGTGCAACCATACCTGGATAGCGCCAATTACAACTGCACAGCTGCTAAACAGGAAAATGCCAAAGGGTACATCTGGAAAGGAGGCCATTAAGGAGAACTGTAAGACAAAAGCGTTAAGATCTGCCATAGGCGCCACCAAGCATGAAAAGACAAAACTGGTCTGTTGCCCATGTCAGCTTTTAAAGAATACAAAAACTTAATTGCTTGACATCCCATCAGGCAGTATGCATACACAGAAATTAAACCACTCTTAAAAATAGTATCTGGCACCGAATATAAATTCATATAAACAATAAGAAATGCATAAAATAATTAAATAAGCAATGACAAGTCTAGGTTTTGGCATCTCATTGGAGCCAGATGAACCCCGTACTGACTTAATGATTTCTACACATGGATGGGAATGACACAATCTCCCTGTTTTGTTTGATGAGACTGTCTTGGCATCATTGCAAGTGGATGACCATGCATTACCGCATTACCTTGCTGGGCCCTGTGAGGAGGTAGTAATGCTGCTGAAAAAAACTAAAGAGGATCAAGGCTCTAAGCAGGTATGGCAACCCACTTGATTTTCTAATTGATTTTCCCCGCTGGTGGATCCCAATGCTAGCTGCCTTATTTACCCCGATAGATAGATCTGGGAAATTCCCTTCAGAATGGGCTGGAGTCATTGTAGTACCTATCTACAAGAACGGTGCTCAATCAGATCCCCGGAACTATCCTGGTATAATCCTCCTGGATGTAGTCAGGAAATTGTACGGAAGATGCTTTTTGGACAAACTAGAAAACCGAGTGTCCTCAGAGAACCTCTTGGCAGAGGAACAAGCAGAATTCCTCTGTAGCAGGTCCACAATTGACTGTTGCTTTTTACTGCAATACCTCCCCCCTCCATTCACTTTTTGTTGCTTTGGCAGACTTTAAAGCAGCCTTTGACTTCATATCTCGACCCTGCCTTTGGAGCAAAATGGAATCCTTGAATATAGATGGTAGGTTACTTAGGAGAATCCAAGAACTGTACAACAATACCACCCTACAAGTAAGAGTCAGCTCTGATGGTGATCTTTAAGGTCCAATCTCTGTCAATAAAGCAGTGCACCAGGGATATTTATTAGCTGCCCTTCTATTTAGTTTATATCTACACAACACAGGATCCTCCTGATCCAGCTCCAGGTTTTCCCCACCCCATCTAAAGGGCAGGAATATATCAGTACTTTTGTATGCAGACGATGCTATTCGCCTGTCCTACACCCAGGTGGGGATGCGAAGACTATGAAGAGCCTTAGCTGCTTATTATGCCAAGGAACGTCTCCAGGTAAATGAAACCAAAACCAAAATTTTAGGTTTTGGGAAAAGGAGAAAGAAATACAGATGGCAGCTGAACAGGAAACTGCTTTTAAAGAATTTTAATTTGCTTATTTATGATTTTTAAAAAAACCTTGAGCTGCTCAAAGTTATTGTGGCAGGGGCTGTGAGATACTCTGAAAACCCAACCATGCTATCCTACTTTGCTCCTCCTGCCAACATGTTAACTAAGAGGCCAAACTCTGTAGCTGCACATAAATGGAGAACAAAATGTACTGTGGCAAACGCATGTTGTAAAATGTGCATATTTGTAAAAAGATCTGCTTTTGAATATATGGAATATTCACACAGCCTCATGTCTTATCTTTGATGCCCACTGCGAATCTATCTATCCTTTAGTTCTTACTTTGCTATAATAAACTATGTTCTGTTGTGATGAGTTAAACCATACATTTTTGACTGACTGATGTGAGACTTTAAAAGCAGCACAAGCCCAAGTAATAGAATAGGTTTTTACTGTAAATGTGTTCCTCTGGCAATAAGGAAGGAGGAACATCAAGAACACACAAAAAAGGGAGAATGCTCACTTACCGTATATGGCAAAAAGGTGATGATCATCATGCAGGCCTACGGTAGGAAAGAACAAATTCACGACATGAAAAGAAATGGCTTCCTGGGTACTGCAATGCAATTAAACTGACACTCCTTGCGTTGCCTTCAGAGTAGGGGGTGCAACCGCAATTTGGCTCCTTCTTGTATGGCAGAGCTAATGCCAACAGCCCTGGGTGATACTGAGAGAGCCTAAGGAGCAGCTTCTCTCTGTACCAACATTGTTCCAATTGGTGAAAGAGGTGGCCTCTGACACCTCCCTCCCCCCTAAAAAAAGAACCACATGTCCTGGAGCTTCTCAATACTAGGTTTGCCAAACTGCAACAGTTTCCATTGAACAAAAATAATGTAAGAAGATAAGTTCAGCACATAAGATAAGTTCCTGCCTATGGAGACCTCGGAAGCCCTCAGGTTTTATCAAAACGTAGAAAGTACGGTACTAAACTGAAGTGGCAGTCAACAGCAGCGTGTTGTTTATTTTTGAAGAAGACAATTTCCATCAGCTTCATATTCAACAGTTAGGGAAAGAAGTAGTGAGCAGTTAAGGCTGAGCAGTGGCATGCTGATGGACATATAGGTGGCAACTAAGCCCAATATGAGGCAGGTTAGTGGATCCTGGCCTAATGGACTGTCAATTGCTTTCTCGCCTATCTTGCCCTTCCTGCATCCTTAATCAATTTAATTTCCAATTCTTTAGCTCCTTGCTTGAGAATCTTTTGCAAGGCACTTTGGTTTAAATGAGAGTTTCCCAACTGGCAAGGTCAATATTAAGTTTTGCAATGAGATGCTAAATCCAAATGTTTACAAGAAGACTTTAGAATTTGCTAGTCTTTAAGTACGTCTTAAGAGTTCCAGCATGCTTTCCAGGTTTGTTGGAAAAGAACACAACTATCCTTCCAGAAGTCATCCAAATTGACAACAAGCTATATTCCACAATTACTCATGCATATCATCATGCCAAGCATATCTTAATACTTAAATCTGTTTCTTGGATCACTTATTTCTAGAAGAGGCTTCTCCTAGCCTAAAACAAGCCTACAGAATTCACACATATAAACGTACAAAAAGTAAATCTGCCTCTCCTGGCTGTAAAGATATTATGTGACTTTTTTTGCAATGAGATTTTTTTTGTGGGGAGGTCATGATGAGACTTCTTGTTAAGGAAATATCACAACCCAATGCTTTTATGAAATATCAGTAAGATGACATTTCTACATGGGATGGGACTGCATTCAATACTGCTCTTAGTAACAGTCAAGGCTGGAACATTTAGCTATGTTGAATTACATAGGTGCAGTCTTTTTTTATTTCTAACCGATAGTTAGTTCACTCACCAGATTTAAAAGGGCAAGTACATCATCTATAAGTTCAATCACTTGAAAAAGTCTGAAATTGAAAAAGGGAGGGAGAGAGAGACAGTAATAACTGCCCAGTAAAACCAAGGAAGATTTCACTGACAAGGGCATCTGTTGACTATGCAAGTCCTGAAATATGGCAATGTCATTTTGGAAAGTTTACACTGTTTCTCAGTTTTGCTTCAACCCTCGCCCCCCCTCCCCGCCAAACAAACAGGCATATGATTTCCTTTTTTTACTATTCAAAACAATAAGGCTTAAAGTAGATAATATGGTTAGCATGTCATTAGATACGGCAATTTCTTAGATGCTGAAAATATGTCGGTCACAGTATGTGCTTTCTCTTGGTTCCCTATTCTCAGGTTCCAGCAAACTTTGTTCTGTAAGAAACAGCTAGACTTTTTCCTGCTGAAATCTAAATTGCGCTGAGAGACAACTACCTGGCTTCTGTCTCTATCATATCCAGAAGCCTCGGCCTATTATCTCACTTAGGTCGCTCATAGCTCATTGTTCTGAAGTCAGGATAAGATAAGAAACAACCATTTTCCCCTACCATTTCTTATCTTATTTATATCCTAGCACAGGTGAAAGAAATCTTTCCCTCTCTTCCAAGACCTCTTTTCATTCTAAAGAAATGTGGTGTACATGTTTGTCTGTGTCCACGTGTTTGTGATACATGCAGGTTGAGGGAGGGGCGGCAGGCTTGCAGGAAGCATGAAAGCTATCTAGAAAGCTCAGCCAACATTGCTGGGCCCCTCACACTCACCACCAGTCCACTTTTCTTCCTTTCTTGTGCCAACTTGATTATTCAAGGTTGTCTTTTAGAAACGACTTATAGGAAACACTGGCCATTACGGCGAACAGTAAAACCGCATGATCTTCTCCTAGTCACTAAGCCAGAAGTACAGTACCATGCATATACTGGGAGCCACAAATACCTCTAAACACAAATTTCCCCCACTGAGAAAGTTGCAGTCCTTCTGAGTGACAGATATGCAGTGGTGGTGGGAACATGTGCATAGCTAGAGGGCCTCTGAAGCTTCTTCTGCAGCTGATAAGCCCATTTTGAGTTTAAAACTAGCTTGCCTATTTAGCTGTGCACGCTGCTGCCACAAACCTCCCTCTGTGATACAGCACCCTGAATTAACAATGCACTTCCCATTACTAGGTCCAATGAGAATCGTACGATGACTCTTATAGAGTAAGGTGACCCGGCAATGGTAAGAAGACCAAGCTTGTAAAATGTTTCTTTTTGGTCAGTAAGAGCTGCTTCTAGGCAAACAGAAGGACAAGAAAGAAACCTGCTTCTTCTAGGCTATAAAAAGCAAACACAGAAATAAGTAGGTGAGTGGACTAGAAAAAACTTGCATGCTAGCAAGCCAACCCATTGGAATTGACCGGCAACCGAATCAGGATATATGGGGGAAAGTTCTTCTTTGGGAAATGTGTGCCTAATATATGAAATCCATTGCCAGAACCCATGCAATAGCCACTAGCCAAGACAGCTTTTAAAAAGGAATGGGAAACACACTGCCTTTCAGATGTTTTTGAATCGCAGCTCATGTGCCTCCTCTCACACTGGCTTGCAGGAGTGATGGGAGCTGTAGTTCAGCTAGGTGCCCCCACTTCCACTTTAAAAGGTGCTCAGCCATATCTGTGGAGGAATGTTCTATCGCCAGCGTACAGGGCCACGAAATGGGACCTCTGGGTTGAGAAAGCAGAACAGCACAACTTAACGTGTTACTGGACAGCAAAACAACAACAGAAAGCAACTCCTTCTGGGACTTCCTTGGAGGGCTTTCAGAAGCACCTGGCTGTCCAATGGAGACCAGATGCTGGAGGCAACAGACATTTGATCCATGTATCTTTTTTCCCCAGATTGTTTGTTTGACTTATTTTCAAGGCTGCCCAAATTAGTTTGTAGAGGCAGTTAATACAATTGGGATGGCCGGGTTCAGCGGTACCTGCAAGTGTGTCACAACGCTGCAAACATACCTTTCCTTTTTGTTAAGCTGCAAGCTACATTTCAAAGCACATATACTTTTAAACACACGATTGACTGCATACCTGACGTGATAAGTGTGTCACAATGCTGCAAACATACCTTTCCTTTTAGTTAAGCTGCAAGCTACATTTCAAAGCACTTTTTGGCACATATACTTTTAAACACACGATTGACTGCCTACCTGACGTGAGCTGCCCATGCAACCGTCACTATTAAAAATGTCATCAGGTAAACGGCAATTTTGGTGGCGAGCAGCTGCTGAATGCTTTCATCAAATTTCTGAAACAAAACACATCGCTTGTCAAATAAACATAAAAGAAGTTACAGGGACATGACACTGTGTGCTCATTTCTCATCCAAGCGAGTACAAGGAAAAGGTATACTGCAAAATAATTTCCCTAAGGTGTTAGCTTTTGTGCTGCAAATCAAAACAAACACTTTCTCCCCTCAACCCTCTCAAGATGTAAGAAGTCACTCATGAGACACTGAAACCCTCTGAATTCAGGCACATCTTCCTTCAGAATCCCTATTCTTATCATAGCCAGCGGGGGGGGGGGGGGGGGGATTTAAAC